ACCTACAGTAACATCTGATACCAAATCTCCATTTGTTAACACTAAATCTAGTATGGCCTCTTACGAGTTGGCTCCTCAACAACTTGTTTTAGAGACAATCCCAGTAGGGAGTTTAGAATATGTGTGCTCCTGGCACAAGTAGCTAATTTTGTTTTCCAATTTACATCAGGAAGATTAAAGTCACCCATGATGATAACTTCCCCTTCATTGTCATTTTAGCTATTTCCTCAACTAGTAGATTATCTAACTCTTCAATTTGTCCAGGGGGCCTATAAATCACACCTACACGAGTTACTGTGTGATTACCAAATTCTAACGTAGCCCAAACGGACTCTATGTTTGCCTCACTAACTTTTATTAGGCTAGATTTTATGCTATCCTTCACATGCAAGCATCCCTCTCTTGCCACCACAACCACTTACACATCTGTAGGGCTCCCTAACCCCTAACACTAACCACCACAACCACTTACACATCTACGGTTAGGGATAGGGTTAGGTGCCTGGACTGCCACCACAACCACTTACACACCTATAGGACTCCCAGTGCCAGGAGTTAGCTTATTGGTCTAAATTCCTGTCATCATTCACGTAATTTTCGCTCCCTCTCTTGTTTTGCCACTTTTCAGAAATCCGAAGCACTTCAGCACTTTCGAAATTCAGCAATTCGGTTCGGCACTTCCGAAATTCGTCAATTCGGACATTCGGAACGAAATGAATTGCACATGTCTAATAGAAACAAACTTTATGTGGAAATATGTCCAAGCCCAAGGTGTGCTTGAAACTTTGTTTAAATGGATCTTTAATTATTCCTTAAGGCTATTCTGTGAAAAAATGTTTTTAAATGTTTTCTAATGAAGGAGTATCTTTTTATCCTTGTACTGTTGATGCTCTCTAAATGGGATATAACTCCAAGTGCTACCTTGACTTGTTGACGAAGTTCCGAAGTGTCGAAGTGCTGAAGTTCTGAAGCACAGTATTGCCGAAGTACTAATATACCTACCCAGTGGAAGAAGAAGAATGTTACACTGTTTACAAGTTTAAATAAAAAGTATACAAACATAGCCAGAATTCAGCTGAAAGCATTTGCAACACTTACAACAATCAAGTAACACATTCATAAAAAAAAGTAAGTTGCTTAGCCTG